GACCCTCGGCGGCTCCCGCCCCTGGGGCCCCGGTCACTTCCCGGACCTGAGGACTCCCCGCCCCGCGGGACCTTCCCACTCCGGTTCGCGGGGCTCCGAGACTCGTCCGCCTGGGCGCTGAAACTCCCCGAGCTCTCCCCACCCTCAGCCCTCCTGTTCAGGGAGCCGGCGTCGGGAGATGCCCTCGCCCGCACCCACGCGAACCCCGCCGGAGCAGCGCGGCCCCTGCGCCTCCTGGGCCTGCCGTCCGGAAGGGGCATAACCGGCCCACGGCGGCTTCCAGCCTCCTCCCTGCTTTCCTGCTCGCCCAGAGCTTCCTGCGCTCTCAACTCCTCCAAATTCCTAGCCATTGTTTCCTCTCCCCCCTTGGGCCCCCTCTGCCCCCCCCACCTGCATAGGGGGTTTCTACCCAGACCCTCAACTCTCCGCCGGCTGCCTCCTGTCCTTGAGCCTTTCCCTGCTGGCCCGAGGTCCTGTCCACCTTCTCCCCGTGGCCCCCAAAGCCCTGGGTCCAGTTAAATGGTTCCTGTCACCACCAAGGAGCATGAGACGGGGCTGGGCACCTGGAGCAAGGGACTCCATGCAGCCTGCCTGCCCCCAGCTGTGGTGGCCGGGCAGTTGGCAGGAAGCTTGGATGGAGGGTGAGGGGTCTGGGAGCTCGGGCAGGCTCCACCATGGCGGTTAGGGCCGGGCTTGCTTAGTGCAGATGCTGTCGTGGCCCCTTTCAGAGGGATGTGGCCCCAGCCGGGCCATTCCTGTTCCCCCCTACATCCCTCCCTGCCCTGTGGGTCCCAGGAGCTGGATCCCCAGTGCCCAGTTGCTTGCCCCGCTGCGCCTGGGCACTGGTGACCCCTAGCCCTTCTCCCTGTGGCAGGGCAGCAGGGCTGGGCATGACCTCATCCCACAACCCCAGCCAAGGTGGGGCTGCCGGGCCAGGCCTGGACACAGTGTCAGCAGCACACTTTTTCCTGAGGCAGCTTTGGACCAAACTGGCTCTTGGGCCCAGCTGGTCCTCTAGTAACGACAGTCTGCTGGCCATGACAGCCAGCACGGGGGCGCAGGGGGTGGGAGCCCACCACGCTCATGTACCCGTGGAAGCTGAGCCGCTTCCAGCCACGTGGATGTTGGTGGTGGTGAGAGAAAGGATGTGGAGGGCAAATCCTGGAAAGAATTACGCATTTGGTCCCCCAAATATTGAGTGCCTACTCCCCATGAGACCCCATTCTTGGATCTGGGATGGGGCTATTAACTAGACAGATGGAGGTGGACTAGCCATTAGGGAGGTGACATTCTAGATGTCTCTCAGTGGCCGAGTAAGAAATGGATAGACGAGGATCAAGAAAATCCTCTGGTGGTGTGTGTGGCGAAGAGAGTGATGCTGAATGTTGTGAGAGAGGCTGACCAGCGGGTGCCTTTGGCTAGAATAGTCAGGGAAAGCCTCTTGGAGGAGGTGGATGAAACGGTGCAATGAACCTTGAGACCACGTGAGGTGGGAAACAGCAAGTGCAGTGGGGTTGGGAGCTTGGCATGGTTAGGGGTGGGCAGGGGACAGGGGGAGAACAGAGTGGCACAGCACTAACTTTCCTGGCTTGAGTGGCTGGAGAGCTGTGGCTGTTCACATGTCCCTTCCTCCCACTATTCCTCCCTGCCTAGTTGGGTATTTGGTCTGTCTTTGCCACCCACCTGGGATGAGACCTGCAGTGTCTGGGGTGGTGGCCCCTTGTGGGACTTTGGGTGGGGGCTATCCCAGCTGTTCCCTGATAATAGTTCCATGGGGTGTGGGGGAGGGGGCCAGTCCAGCAGGCGATGGGAAATGTCCCTGGTGCTGCAGAGGATTCCACAGATGGGATCTTTGCCGTGGGATGGAGACAGCCAGACGACAGTGAGATGGTGTCCAGGTAGGGCTGTCCCTGAAGCCCTGATAAGATCCGATCCTTCGGGGTGGGAAGGCCCAGCCAGACAGGCGGCTGCTCCGTCTCAGTCATTGGTTAAGGCCTCAGCGAGTGGTGTTTGTTCTAGAGCCAAAGCCTCTAGGCAGAATCCAGGTGCAGGGGAGGAGTGCTTGGAGTGGCTGCCCCATGGCACAGGTGGGCAGGGAGGGCCAGGGCGTCTCCCTGCCCCCTCCGCACAGGGTACCTGCCCTTCCTGAGGAGGGGAGTGTTTCAGAACCTGGCTCTTCTCTGCGAAGGAGCTGTGTTGGCCTGGCCCAGGTCAGGGGCTGTCTCTGGTTGAGCAGCAGCACTGATGCCCTGCTGGGAGGAGACATGGGGGCTCTTGTCCCCTACCCTGACTAGAACCTTAAGAGGGACTGCAGAACACCCTGCTTGGCTCTTCTGGGTACTCAGAGCACAAAGGCCTCGTGTCCAGTGCTGGAGAAGGACCCGGGACGTCAGGTCCTCTGGGATCAGCGAGCATTCTTCCAGGCTACAGCCCTGAGGCTGGTGGTGGCTCAGAAGTGAGGACAGTGGCCGTGGCCTGTGGGGCCTCAGCTGCCCTCCACTTCTCCACGCCCATCAGGCTTTCACAGGCTCAGCTTGGGGCCCCTCTCTTGCTGAACACAGTGCAGTCCCTCTAGGGGATGACTTCGTTCTGACCCCACCTCCTGTGACCCCATTGCCTGTCAAATTTGCAGGTCCACCTGTTGGCCCTTCCCCTTTCTTTCTGACCTTCCGAAACCTCCTCTGCCATACCATTTTGGGTCCTAGGCTGGGTCTTGCTTTTACAAACATCATTAGGGATGGAGTACGGCCAGGGCTCCCTGTGACTTGGGCCAGAGTAAGCTGCCAGGACTTGGCCACCTGGGCTTTTCCATGAAGGTGCTCTTCCTGCTGGGTTATTGCTGTGGGGCTGATTCTTAGGCCTGGAGGATGGGGCAGGATGGCACTGCAGGGACAGACACTGCAGGGACACTCCTGAGAGCCTGGGACCTCAGTCCCTAGGGGGTTGCTGCTGGGAAGATGACTGATGAGCCCAGGAAATAGCAGGCCTGCATTGGACAGGTAGAAGGCTGGCTTCTGGTGAGTTCACAGCCCTGTCTAGGCAGCAGCTCTGGGTCCAGAGTGGCAGATGAGTGTCTCATGTATTCATTTTCTCATTTAAAGTATGTGGATTTGTTCTCTCTCTCTTTTTTTAACTGATGGGGAAACTAAGGCACAGAGACGTTAAGTGGCTTGCCGGGACTCCAAGTGGATTCACGCTCCTGGCTGCGCCATGTCTGAGCCGCCTTGCATGAATCCAAAGGCTTCTGAAAGGCTGTTCTGAAGGGGCTTTCCTCACTGTGGACCCACAGCCAGGGGCCAGCCTGCTAGTCATCTTGAAGGGGAATGCTACAGAGCTGGTCCTTGCTCTGGGGACAAGGCAGCCCCAGAGCCAGGCTGTGGAGACAAGCTGGAAAAATTGACCCATCTCTGCCAGAACCCAGGTGCAGCAGGGCTGTTAGGGTTCAGTGATGGGACCAGGACCCCAGACCAGAACTTACAGAAGAGGAGACTGCCTAGGTCTGCCTAGGTGTGGGAGAGCCTGGGACCCAAGGAAGCTGGGATGGAGGTCCTGACGGGCAGGAGGGGAGCTGAAGGACTGGAAGGGCAGGTGCCACAGGGGAGCGTTGCCCTCCCTGTCCCTCCGGTGCTGTGTGCACACTGGGGTAGTCCCATCTGTTCCTTGTTAGGACTCAACAGACAGGCCTCCAGGAGATTAATTAATGCCAAGCTGCCGGCACATCCAGCAGCATGCACGCCCCAGGGCCCCATGCTTGAGCACAAATACCCAGCTGACCCCAGCCGTGCTGCTCCACTCCTCCCTCTGATCCTGAAGACACAGCCCTACCCACGGCTGGATGTCAGAGAAGGCTCGGGCGATGGTGGGCAGCCGGAGATGGCCGCAGGACGTTCTTCCCTGGGGCTGGCCTGTGCTACCCACCCTGGAACTTCTCATTCATCCCTGGCTGTACACAGACTTGCCGTGTGACCTTAGCCATGTGGCTTACCCTCTTTTCCCATCTGTAAAGTGAAGGTGTTAGACTGGGTCTTCAGGAGAGCCCCCTCGAGTCTTTGTGATCTGTTGATCTGCCTGATTTGGGTGGCCCTGCTGTCCCCCCATTTCCTGCTCCATCTTAGCCTCCCTTTGGTGCCCCACCTGTCTCCTGCCTGTCTTGGCTGGGTCCTGTGCCCCAGGCCCTGGCTAGTTCTCCTGTAATTAACTCCTGCCCATGCTTAGGACATGGAGGCCTGCTTGTCCACTGAGGGCCCGGGCGCCACCCTCACAGACTGGCCAGTCTTCCCAACTCTGGCGTCTGGAAGCAAGGCGTCTGCTTTCACAGTGGCCACCTCCAGCCGGCCCAGCACATTCCTCAGGCTTATCTGGAGGCCCGCCCCACTGGACTCTGCCCTCCCACCCAGGAAGCAGCACCCGGAGGAGCTGCTGGAGAGTTCCAGAGGCTGGGAGCGGGGCCTGAGTGGGCTGGAGGTGACGATCCTCAGCCTGCCGTGTGTGGCTGGAGAGAGGCAGGTGTGGGACCGGTGGGGCAGAGGGGCTGGGGGCTACCAAGCTCACGAGGCAGATTGTCTCTAAGCCTTGCAGAGGAGCGTGGGGTCCACTCAGACACCAGACTCTGGGCCATCTCCGGGGACTCCCCTCCCCCTCTCTGGGAGGGCTGCCCACCTTCCCGCGGGAGCTCCTGTGCCCGGGAAGGGTTTTGCTCTTGGCAGTTTGCCCTACATTTGCCCCAAAGTTACTACAGTTGTTAGGGACACAGGCCTAAGTAGCTCCAGACCACCTCCCTTCCTCAGCCCCCACCTTCACCACAGGAGCCGGAGTCAGCCCTCCCAGGAAGGGGTTAACTGCCAGCCCCAGCCATGAGGGAGGGGACTGGGCTGGACCATTTTCCTCGCGGCTGCCTCCACCTCGGTTTTCCTGAATGGTTCTGCCGTCCTGGGGTGGGGAGAGAAGGGAAGGAAGAAGGGCGGGAGGAGGGAGGGAGGGAGGAGTGTGGGAAGAGGAAGGAAAAAAGAGAGCGAGACAGCGAAGGGAAGAGAAAGATGTCACTGTCTCTAATCTCCCTGTCATTTTTATTTCCAGCAGGCGCCAGTCGAAGGAGCTGCTAGAACAATGCTGAGGCGGGCGAGGTGAGGAGCCCAGCACGGCAGCCCCAGCCCCGACGGAGCGTCTGGAACAGGTGATCGCAGGCGCCGGAAACCCAGGCACCTGGGCATCCCTCCCTGTCTCCGCCAGGCCCGGAGCCCCAAGGAAGGGGGGGAAACCATGGCGACCAATTTCAGCGACATTGTCAAGCAAGGCTACGTGAGGATGAAGAGCAGGAAGCTGGGGGTGAGCCACCCCGACCCGCGGTGGGGGCCTGAGGTGGGATGGGCACTGAGGACTGTGGGAGGCTTGGCGAGTCCTGGGCAGGCCAGTGCCGGATGGATCGCGCGTTGTAGAGTGAGGCTTCACGCCAGCGGGCTGCCGGCATGTGCCTGGGCTGGGCTCTGCCTGCTGCAGCCCCCGCCCCACAAGCCTGGCTGGCATCCCAGCCGCTGGGCTAGTGGTGGCGGCGGCAGCGTGGCCGATGGGCAGGCAGCGTCCCTGCCATTGTTGAAGTTGTCGCCACGGCAGTGGAGGGCTGGAGACGCGGGCTGTGCCTGAGCCAGAGCAGGTGCTCGCTCCTCCTAGCCTCCTCTCCTCTCGGAGCCTCCTCTCCGCTCCGAGCCTCCTCTGCTAGACTCCTGTCCTCACGGAGCCTCCTCTCCGCTCCTTGCCTCCTCTCTTCTCTGTAGCCTACTCTTCTTTTCGTAGCCTCCTCTCCTGTACAAGCCTCTCTGTTGCCTCTCCTTCTCCCCACAGTCCCCTCTCCTCTCCTAGCCTCCTCTCCTCTCCTAGCCTCCCCTCACCCAGCCTCATTTTAAGTATACCCTCTCCCTTTGCTTCCCACTGCTTTCTGTGTGCAGACATTTGTTGTCTTTTTGGTGGTGGTTTCTAATGTTAAAGAGGTGTTTAGAAAGGAGTGCATTGGGTGGGTGGTGTGAAGGGCGCAGAAGCTGACATGTCTGTGGTTTCTAAGTGAAAGCTTCAGCAGAATGGACCATGGCTCTGGGATGGGCTGCCGGCCTCCAAGTTGCTGGCCGTGGCGCCATGCTTGTTTGGGACTTGGCCCTGAGCTGGGGCTTGTAGTGGTCATAAGGACATCACCCTTTCCCACCCTGTAGACCCAACTGCTGAAGACCCCCCAGAAGGCATGAGCAGGGGCCCCAACTTCATGATCCTGGTGAGACTGCCTGAGAGCTACCTCTGTTCCTCTGGCAACCAGCCCCACCCACCTCCCCCATAGGAAGGAAAGCCCTGGCTGCAGGTGGCCCAAGTCTTGTGTTTGACCCAGGACTCCTGTCCCACCCTTTTCTCCCTTCCCCAATGCCTTGATGGGGCTGCTGGGCTCAGGCTGCTCAAGACTTCCTGGTCTGCCTGAGTGGAATGGGGGAGATGAGGAGGAGAGGAGCAGGGATCTGATGCGGCCCCTCCGTGTGCCTCACCCAGGCTCCTTTGGGGGCTGTTCAGTCCAGGCAGAGACTGGCAGCCTTACTGCTAGGTGGGTGATCACTGGAGCAGGGCCAAGCTGGTGGGCATGTTTGGAGTCTTACCTGGATTTGAATTTGTAGCCCAACCTGGGCCCCAGCCTAGGCAAGACTGGGCCCTGGCAGACATCAGCTGCTTTGCCCTTCCTCTGAGAGAGGGATCAGCCCACTGACATGAGCACAGAACAAAGAAAGAGGCTGAGGCTGAGGCTGAGGTAGGGAGACCAGGGGAGCAGGAGCCCAGCTTCTAACATCACTCCTCATTCCTATGGCTCTGGACCTGTCAAGTCCCTAGGGCCCAGCTGGGCCAAGGCTCTGTCCTGGGCAGAGCATGCCAGGAAGGCACTGGGCACAGGGCAGCCACTTGGGCTCAGTATCAGACCTGTTCCAGAAGGAGACCAAGTGGCTGCAGGTGGGCACAGCCGGAGAGGGGTGATGGGTGGGGTGTGTCCAGGCCCCATCAGGGGTCCACCCTCATGGAGGGAAGTCAGCTTCCCTCTGCAGACCTGAGCTGGCTACCCCTGATGCCAGGGGCTGCAGTCACTCCCAAGCAGCCGCCAAGATCAGCCCACATAGGTAAGGGGGGAGGGCTGGAAAGGGATCAGGCACAACCTCCCCTACCTGCCAGAGCTTCCTTCCTGGCAGAGCTGTGGCGGAGTGTTTCTGAAGCACTGATCAAAGCCCTGAGAAGTGGGGAGGAGGGCCTTGAGCGCGTGGCTCCCTGGGGCTGTGTGAGTGTGCATCCTGTAACTAGGCAACCGGGTGCTCAGGCCCCCGGGCCTCCTGCCCCACACTGCAGGCAGCACAGAGCCCACCCTGGCAGGGTGTATCTGGGTCGGCAGCATTCATTCATCCGTCCATCCCTCCGTCCATTCACTGTCCCTTCATGTGGTCATTCACTTGTTTGGCAGAGCTTTGTTAATGAGGCTGCCAGGATACCATGAGATTCTAAGCGTAACACACAGCATCTGCCTTAAAGGAGCTCTTCAGCTGAGCGCTGAGGGCCGCTGTGATGCAGGTGGACAGAACAGGGCTGAGCCAGGGTCAAGGGTGTGGGGGCAGATGAGCCTCCTGGGGTCCCAGATGGCAGCCACACATGGCTTCTTGGGATGGGGACTTCCTAGGCCCACTGCACCCTGTGACCCTGCCTGCCAAGGGCCTGGTACACCCATGGCAGGGCAGGGCTGAGGAAGGAAGGGGTGGGACCCAGAGGCCCCATAGCCTCCTCTGCTCTGGGCCACCCAGTCTCCCTACTGTTTGCTGGTGAGAGGAACACAGATGTCCAGGGAATGGACCCTGCCAGGCTTCTGGAGCCTTCCGCTGAAAGGATCAGGTAAACCCATCACAGACTTTAGACTGGCAGAGAGCCTGGGACAGGAGGGAGCTGCTATGAAAGGAAGAGTCACGGCTCAGACAGGAGGTTGGGGTCTCCCCCAGGTGCCTGACCAGCCCGTTTGTCCCTGTTGCCCTGGAGAAGGGTCATCCCCTCTCCTGCCCTTGCTCCTTGTCCCTTGGGAGGAGTCCATGAAGCTGTAGAGAACTTGGGTGGCTTAAGGCAGCAGTCCCCAACCAACCTTTTTGGCATGAGACTGGTTTCGTGGAAGACAGGTTTTCCATGAACTGGAAGTTGGAGGGTGATCATCCGGCATTAGATTCACATAAGGAGCGTGCAACCTAGATCCCTCGCATGCGTAGTTCACAATAGGATTTGTACTCCTATGAGAATCTAGTGCCATCACTGATATGACAGAAGACAGAGTGTTGCTTGCCCACTGCTGTGCTGCCCAGTTCCTCAGGCCATGGACCGGTACCCTTCCATGGCCTGAGGGTTGGGAACGCTGGTGTAAGACACAGGGCACTGGCAGTAGGACAAAGAGGGAAAGCGCCATGCTGTGCAGTGACCCTGGTTCCTAGCTCTGCCCCTGCACCTCTGACACCCTCTGGTTCCCCAACTGCAACAGAAAAGTGACCATGGCCCCTTATACGCCAGGGCTGACAAGAGAATGAAGAGAGGGGGCAAGAAGACTGGGTACAGTGGCTCACGCCTGAAATCCCAGTACTTTGGGAAATCGAGGTGGGAGGATTTCTTGTGCCCAGGAGTTCAAAACCAGTTCAACACAGCGAGACTTTTTTTTTTTTGAGCTGGAGTCTCACTCTGTTGCCCAGACTGGATGGAGTACAGTGGCACGCTCCCAGCCCCGGCAGCCTCAACCTGCTGGGCTCCAGCGATCCTTCCACTTCAGCCTTCCAAGTAGCTGGAACTACAGGAGTGTACTACCGTGCCCTGCTAATTTTTTGATTTATTGCAGACATGTTGCCCAGGCTGGTCACGAACCTGCAGGCTCAGACAATCCTCTTGCTGTGGCCTCCCAAAGTCTATTTTTTTAAAAATGAGAGGGCGAGTGAAAGCTCCTGGAGACAAGAGTGGGGGTTACCAGCATCAAGCACCCTCACCTGGCTCAAAGAACAGGGGGTGCGGAAGTGTGCAGGCAGTCAATGGGCAAGGGTCTAGTCCCTCTTCCCAGGAGCCCTGGCCAGACGCCATGTGCAGTGGACCATGAGAATCAGCTCTGCATCTAGACAGCCTGCTGTAAATACCAGCATCACCACTTATTAGCTGTTACTAAATGTTGTGGTGCCTGACTTTCCTCATCTATAAAATGGGGATGATAGTAGAACTGACCTCAGGTGGCCCTGAAACTGTGAGGAGTGCTTATTATCACATCCAGAGCTGTGCGCACAGTGAATAGTAACTCAGGATGCACTCTTGGTGGAACAGTGTTTCAGAGCCAACCAAGAAGCGACTGCCTTTTCTATTTAAGAAGGGGCCCTCTCTCCCAGGGAAACGGCACTGCTGGTGACTCCCCTTTCCTGGTTTCCCCAGGGCTCCAGGAAGGCTGGACGGCATTGCCCCCTATGGCAGCCATGGGCAACTGCAGGGCTGTGGCTGGGGTGGGAGGGGTCCAGGGAGGCCTGATGCCGGTCATCTCGTCCCACAGATCTACCGGAGGTGCTGGCTGGTGTTCCGGAAGTCCTCCAGCAAGGGGCCCCAGCGGCTGGAGAAGTATCCAGATGAGAAATCAGTGTGCCTCCGAGGCTGCCCCAAGGTTAGGGGACCTGGGCCCTAGCTCTCACTCATAAGCAAAGATGATTTGCTAAGAGTCCTGAAGTGTGAGCACACCCTTCTGGGGGTGGCAGGGCTGTGGGGGATGGAGAGGGAGGTGTACTAGCCTGGCTGAGTTCCTTGTTGTCCCAGGTGACTGAGATCAGCAATGTCAAGTGTGTCACACGGCTACCCAAGGAGACCAAGCGGCAGGCAGTAGCCATCATATTCACTGATGACTCGGCACGCACCTTCACCTGTGACTCAGGTCAGGCACTGAGGGGCAGGTCTCTATCTGGACTTCCATGGGCTGGGCTTGGCCAGCCATCCAGCCAGGAGGAAGCAGACAGGGCTGACCCCGGGTACAGATGGTGGTTGGGACAGTGGGGATGCCTTTGAGGGAGCAGGCCCAGGATTGAGTGGGCAGGCAGGCAGAATCCAGTCCTTGCCCTCTCTGCTTTGCATGGTGGTATAACTCTGGCTGAGACAGGTGGGGTGGGCTGCTGGGAACCCCTGAGCTGGTGGCACAAGGTACCCTTTTCTTCAGAGCTGGAGGCAGAGGAATGGTACAAGACTCTGTCTGTGGAGTGTCTGGGGTCACGGCTCAACGACATCAGTCTGGGAGAGCCTGACCTCCTGGCCCCAGGAGTGCAGTGTGAGCAGACAGGTGAGGCCTGGCCCCAGCCCTGAGGGTGGGAAAGGGAGGAGGGGAGTTGGCCCCAGGCAGGCATCCTGGGCCCGTCTGTCCTCTCCCACTCAGATCGCTTCAACGTCTTCCTGCTGCCCTGCCCCAACTTGGACGTGTATGGCGAGTGCAGGCTGCAGATCACCCACGAGAACATCTACCTCTGGGACATGCACAACCCCCGTGTGAAGCTCGTCTCATGGCCACTCTGCTCGCTGCGCCGCTATGGCCGGGACGCCACACGCTTTACCTTTGAGGCCGGCCGGTAGGACCCCTCGCCTCCCCACCCTGACCCACCGTGGTCATGACAGTGGCTGCCATTCACTCCGTGTTAGCCCTGTGCTAGGAGCTAACTTTATTTACTGACTTAGCAATCCAGAGGGAAATGTGATGTTCCCATTTACCAGATGAATAAGTTGAGGCTCAGAGATGGTGCCCACAGCAGCAGTTCAGGCGAAGCTGTTTACCAAAAGTGAAACTGCTTGGGCTCTAGTCAGATGCTGGAACTGGCTCTTTTTTCCCCCCTTTACTATAAACATGTGGGATACAAGTTGGGCTTAGGTACATAAGTAGCCTAAGTGCAGGTGAAGTTTGGGCCTCCAGCTGGTCCTCACTGCCCCTGGTTTACGATTAGGTGCCCTTAGTGATGTTATGTGCCCCTAGGACAGGCTCTTGCTAGCTCTGTGAATGTGGACCTGAGTCTTGGTTTCCTCATCTCAAGTGGGGATAATGAAGGCACCTGACCTCACAGGATTCTGGGGAGGATTGGGTGTCCTCTAGCTGAACTCTGGAGGTAGCTTGCCTAGAACAACTCTGTATAATCCTCTGTATAGTCTTATTGTGTTACTTATCTCCTATATGCCTCAGTTTCCTCTGTCGTCATGGTTTGAGACCATGCATAATGAAGAAACTATTAATAGTACAAAGACCATCGGGGTGGTGGGGAAACAGAATGGGTTAATGCTTGTCAAGCATTTGGACAACCAACTGGCACAAAAATGCTCAGCATGTTTGTGCTGCATGGTTGGACACCCAGACCACAGCTCGACCTGTCCTTGCACCCCTGCCTGGAGGCATCCACAGCATGTGGTACAGGAGGGCCTGACCAAGCACATGCCCTCTGGGCTACCTGTGTCTCCAGGATGTGCGATGCTGGAGAAGGGCTCTACACCTTCCAGACACAGGAGGGAGAGCAGATTTACCAGCGGGTCCACAGTGCCACCCTGGCCATTGCCGAGCAGCACAAGCGGGTTCTGCTGGAAATGGAGAAGAACGTGAGGGTGAGGCAGGGGTGGCTGTCCAGGGGCCAGGGCGTGGTGGGCAGGAGGGCCCAGTGCCGGGGCCAGCCAGCGAAGTCTCCAGCTATCCTGTCAATGGCAGTGGCAGGCATGGTCCTGGGTGGGCTGCTCACTGACGGGAGGGTCCGCTGTTCCCCCCACAGCTGCTGAACAAGGGCACAGAGCACTACTCGTATCCCTGCACACCCACTACCATGCTGCCCCGCAGCGCCTACTGGCACCACATCACGGGTTCCCAGAACATTGCCGAAGCCTCTAGCTATGCAGGTGAGTCGCAGCGGTGCCCCACACCTGCCTGCCCCAAAGCTCTGTGGGTAGGAGTCTTTTGACCAAGATATGATTTTTGCACCTGCTTTTGTGCCCACAGGTGAGGGGTATGGGGCAGCCCAGGCCAGCTCAGAAACAGATCTCCTCAACAGATTCATCCTGCTAAAGCCAAAGTCCAGCCAGGGGGACAGTGGCGAGGCCAAGACCCCATCCCAGTGACAGCAGTGCTAGCAAGCACCGGTGACCTGCTGGGGCTGCCTGTTGCAGGGCTGGCTGCAGTGTTCCGTGGATAGCCTGGAGGGGCTGCTGGCCAAGAGCCTGGAGAAAAGGAGCAAGCTGCCACCTCCTTGTCCCCAAGGGTGAGGCTGGACCACAGCTAAGGGCTGGCCACACCACCTGAGCATGTGAGGGGCTGGAGCTACCGTGGGACTATATACTGTTAATGAGTTTAATATATATGGCTTACGACATATTCTATATTAATGAGATTTCCCCCCATCCTTCCCCGCCAACACATTTTTAAATCCCATGACCAGGCCACAGTCAAGGCTGTTTTTGAGTATGAGGGCAGCTGTTTCCCTGTCCTCCATGGTACAGCCCTCCTGCTGCCAGGGCCAGAGGAGGGGACAGTCAGAACTTGAGGCTGGCACTGACTGTTGGCTTTTCCCAAGCAGCCCAGGGCCAAGACAGCAGGTGGCCTCTCAGTTCCTCTGGGCCTGGCACGGCACAGGAAGGATCCCAACTTGCACTGCGCTGCTCGCCAGCCTCACACTAGGAGTGCTAAACAGAGGTGACATCTGGTTGCCGCCTCAGGTGAAAATCTGGTTTTAAAATGTAACTTCTGCACAGGTTCCTTCCGGCTTAGCAGGCTGGGAAGATGCCCTTGGGGTGGGGTGCCAATTACCTCAGCCATGTGGAGGAAGGCTAGAGAGTGTTCCTGCCCCAGGGCCAGGCCAGGAGGGAAGGCTGCAGCCGGGACTGCTGTGGGGAGCACCCCTGCTGACCCCTCCTTCACTGACCAGGGATGGACACTGCCCAAGGAGCCCCTCCGCCCTGTGTTTGACCCACCCTATGGCCAGCCAGAAGCACTCAGAAGACCTCCCATTCCCTCCTCCCCACATGGTGCTGAGGCTCCCTGCTGAAATGCAATTAAAGCAATTGATTTTCTAGTGCTGGTATTTATTGACTACCATGCAGAAGGGCTATCTTTCTATTCACATCAAACCTTTGGTTGCGTGTTTTGTTTTTTGTTTGTTTTTAAAAATACTTCAGGGTTATGATTTGTGGGAACAGACTTTCTTGTAAATAACCATTGTTCAAGTTGTGGCAGGAGGATGATAAAGCAAGAGATCCCTCCCGGAGGAGCCCAGGAGCCAGGGAGATAGCACAGCCAGCTCGCTCTGAATTGACCCAGGGCACGACCACCCAGAGGGATATGCTAGCCTGAAGAGGGGTGCTGGGGTCCAAAGGCTTTGGGGAGGGAGGAAGAGCTGGCTGGCTCAGCTAAGTGGCACGATGACGCATGAAGGAGATTATGTTGTGCTCTTTATTGCCAAAAATAAAACACTTTTAAAAAGACAACTACTGTTAATCAATAAATATCCCTTCCTTTCTGTACTGGATATCTGGTTTTCTCCAGACGGTCTAATTAACTGCACTGGGTATGCTCCTACCTGGAAACAGTTCTAAAGGGTCAGGGCCAGAACCTTCATTAGGGAGGACTGAAACATTCCTTATGTGTATGTGGGAGGTCCCTTGCTGCCCCCACCACCTAGACTGAATGATCAGGCTACTAGTGGTGAAGGGGTTCCTAACTCGTGAGGAGAGAATGAAATACTGTGTCTGTCTGTGGGGAGAGGGGACACTCGGGGTCTAATGGTGGTCCCAAAAGATTACTTCTCAAATTAGGGACACCTGGGAATTTGAAGTGCCTGCTGGCCCTGGGGAGGACTGAAGAGTGGTTTGTATGCCCCCTGAATAAAGGTGGTGGCAGTCAATCCTCACACCAGAAAGCTAAAGGTACAATGTGGAGAGTCCTCCTTTTGGACAGAAAGGGTTTCAAGTAAAGAGCTGGAATAACCAGGGAAGTCCAGCTGGATCTCAAGAGGGAAGCAGCGTGGCCCCCTACAGGCATGTTTGGAAACAGGATGGCAGGCATGTGTTGGGTTCTGGGGGCACTGCTGACAATGAGCAGGCAGGGCCATAAAAAAACTATCCTGCTTGAACACCAGTGGCATCCCTGTAATCTATCCATGACCCCCTTCTAGTTGGTACTGATGAACTGCCATGATCTCAGAAACTCAAAGAGTTTCAAGCAAGACCCAAATGCAAAGCTGCCGGTTTCCATTCCCCTTTTTGCTGCAACAGGCAAGTTCAGCTAGTTAATGGTTAGTACGTCACTCTGGATCTCCTGGCTTAACTGAGTCTGTAAATCACTCAGCTTCTTCTTCAATTCGGAGAGGGCTGAGAGGACAATGGTTTCAGGACGCAAAGAGCCACAGGACTCCACATTGTAGTAAAACCTACAAGGCAAGAGTCCAGTGAGAGCCCTCACAAGGCAGGCTGGCCAGCCTGAGCTTCGGCCATGGATAGCACTTTCTCCCCTGGGTCTTGACTCTGTTCCACCAAGAACCTGACCTTGGCCCAGCTTCATCTAAAACCTCAGAGTGATTCCAACCCCCTTTGCAGGATGGCAAGGAGGCCACGTCCACCTCATAAGGTGTTGTGAAAATCCTAAAACAATGGTGTATGTATGTATGCCACAATGAGGAGAAAGTAGATCAAGAAGGCAGTGACCATGAGCCACAGCCCCTTCACGTTCATAACTATAGGACTTTGGTCAACGTTTCTGGCCCCAGCTTGGACCTGAGGTGTCCCTTCTTTGGGGGATGAAAATCAGAACAGGAACAGCTTGGATAAATGGAGCGCTACTCTTTCTCATAGTGACCAAAAGGAGGATAATGACTGGCCCCTGGATGTGCACATATCTCGGGTGTAGTTTAGCAGGCAATGGCCCCTCTTCAGCCCATGAGAACGGGATGCGAGGGAGAGGGACTGCCTAACTCAGGGACTGCACCAAAACCGAACGCACTCTACCATCCCACGCTGGCCCAAGGGCTTACCTCTCTGGCTTGCCATTGGGATCGTAGGGAGCCTGTGACTCGTCCTCATCCAGCTCCGAGTACTCACTCTTTGGCCTGAGGTCAAACACAGGTCAGCACAAGGTTGCTACTGCTGCTTTTAGAGCCCTCAAGTTTATAGAGAGCCTCCTCGTCTCAGTCACAGTCACGAACAGTCATTTCCACCCCCACCCCCACCCTTAATGCCTGCCTACACTCTCAATGGAACATACCATTCCTCGGGCTTGGGGTACACTGTATGCCTCAAGGCGTTGTCTGGATCATATTCAAAAGCCACTCCTGCAGTAGGGTTCCACTTGGCATGTTCCTTGCCAAAGCCCTTCTTAGCATAAGCTCGAAGTCTCAGCTCCTGGCCCTTTCTCAACTTGACGATGAGGATGTCTGCAGGGAGGGGTATGAGTTAGTCAAGGGCCAGGAGAGGGATGGTTCTCCAAGTTCTGATTTGGAGATCCATTGGTAGACCACACACATCTGGAAAAATGGGCCTAGGGCCAATTTCCAAGGACACCAGGCAGCACGAGAGGCTGTGTCTGCTCTACTTCCCTCTGGTCCACATGGCAACAGGTCAGGAAGATGTCTGTACAACCACTCCAGTGCCTTACCATCCTGTTCCACGTAGTCATTGGGGTCATTATCTCTGTTCCGGGATGTCACCTGTAGGGAGCCCAAATAGGCATTTATTAGCTACTCAGCCCCCCAGTCACCTCTTCTGGCAACCATCTCCTAGCACCTCTAGACTGCAATCCATCACCCAGGGAAAGGGTGCCTGAGAAGGCGGTGGTAGAGATGCCTCCTGGGACTCCAACCCAAACTCCATGGTAGGTGATGGTCTTCTCAGTTAAAACAACTCCATGGCCTTTAGAAGGGTCCTTGAGTGACAGCACACAGAACCAACGATGCTTCTGCTCCCCCAAAATCCAGAATAAGCACTTCTGGGAATCAGGTTAAGGCAGAGGGTAACAGGGAAAGTCAACATCTTTAAAGATTGACCCCAACTGGCCCACTTGGAGCCAGAGGGAGAAGAGTACAGGTAGGGAGGATGCTCTCGTGCACTGACCGGAATGACACGAGGGCTGTTGGAGATGAGGTCTCGAGAGGTGACATGTCGGGTCTGGTCTTCATTGCACCGCACGTCGAGGGTGAACTCCACTGAGCACTTGGGGCAGAACTCTTCACACGAGCAGTCCTGAGGCAGGAGGAGAAGCAGGACTGAGTCTATGAAGAGATGGTAGATCCTAACTGACTCACTCCTACCCAGTTCCTTCATCTGTAAAAAGGTTGATCCCAGTCTCCAGGCTCTCATGGGCTGTGACAATCTGTTACACCATACTCATGGGCTACCCAAGTTTAAGGCAACCTATTCACATGTTGGCATCCATATTTCCTTCCTGGCCACTAGCTGCCAGGTTACTGGGAGACACTCTGCTAACATCTCACCCTGGCCCTTGGAGTACTCTCTCTCAGAGAACCGAGGCTATTAAGGGAGAGGAGGATGCTTTTATACTCTACAGTTCAGCTTCCTGTGAACTAAGTAGACCAGCCTGGCAAGGTAACCATCATTTAAAATAAAACAACCCTAGGGAACAATAGCAAAAAGTACTTTTAAAGTTCTAGACTACCGGCCTTTTTCTAAATTAAAAAAAAAAAAAATCCTTTGTCATGGAAAACTTTATACATACACAAAAATGGAGACATGTATCATAAACTGACATCATGTAACCATTACCCAGCTTCCATAATTTTCAGCATTTTGCCATTCTTACAACAACTGACTCCTTCACATGTCAGGGACTATCTGCTGCAGTTTGACATCAGGCAAGAAGAGAGTTACGAGAATGTCATCAAGTAAGCTGTCCTCTCCCTCACCCCAGTGAGGGCAACCTAATATACTTTTGAAGTTTGCAAGATGACAGAGGAGAAGAAGCACTTTGAGGTCGGTCTGCAGTCATACGCAGGTGAGGCAGAAGTCAACCCAGACCCTTGAGACTGAATCACTCTTAGAACTGTGAAATTGGGAAATCAAAACATAGTGGAAGATAAAAATACAAAAAGGCAGTCAACCTCAAACCAAATGTACTTTTCAAGTTCTAGAAGGAGAACTTGAAAGGAGAGGAGTCTTAGATGAAAAGAGACTAAAGGGCTGTAACAACCAAATGAATCCTGACTGGATCAAGAGCGACCCACAAACAACAACAATGAAGGACTTTTGGGGGACAACTAGAAAAAACCTCAACAGATTGAATATAGATATTACAAATAATGCTAATTTTCTTAGGCACAATAGTGTGGTCATGTATAAAATATCCTCATTCTCAGAAGATGCCTGCAACTTACTTTCAAATAGTTCAGCAAAAGTAACAACATATATATGAGAAACAAAGGACATGTAGCAAAATATTAACAACTGCTAACAAGTAAATGGGTGTTCATTATTTAATATTGTCAACTTTTCTGTAGACTTTCAGAAAAAGGCAAACAAAAAGAGGGAGGAACACATCATTTGTTCAATAAACACTAGAACAAAATTTAACAAAACTGCTAAATCACAGGGGCATGCATATCTTTATATAAGATATAACCAAACTGCTCTTAATTGGTTGTACCACTGTCCCCACCAATATCTGTAAAGTTTTGCTTCCTAAAAACAAAAATCTGGAGATGTGACTAGGGCAAAATGTTAAATGTGATGACAAAGTATTAGGTAGGAGCATGGGTATTTGCTATACCGGCTCTACACTTTTCTGTGCGATTCGGTATTTCTTTTTAAAAAATACACATATAAGATATACTAAACTGGCCACTAAAAAATGATGTACCCTTGGGGATGTTAGAAAATGGGTTGACTCAGGACCATCCAAAGTCACCAAGAGGGACCAGTCTCAGGCTGTTATGAATGCCACCTAGTGAAGGATGAAGAGAAGCTGCTCCTACCCCACTTTCTCCTTACTCCAAAGGTTGGTAACATATCATCAGAGGAAGACATGACCAGGAGAAAGGGGTGAGACGAGAAAACCCTGGCCATATTTAACCAGTGTCACCTATGGGGAAAAAGCATGCATGTGGCAGATACCAGTACTCCATCCCTGAGGTGCTCCCTTGTGGTATAGCTCCTCCTCCCCCACTGAGCCTTCTGTCGACTCTCTTAGCCTCCGAGGTGCCTGCCATTGGGAAGAGATGCTCTGGAAGAACAGCCCCACTGTTCAGTACAAGCGGGCATTCTAACAGATACCCCCTCTTGTGTGGCTGGTTAAGAAGGAGGCTCCCTGATGTCCTGAGGCCCTCATCAATCTGAAGTCCCACCAGAACCAAGGACCAAGGCCTGCCTCAGGCTCTGGACAACATCCCCATATTGTTGACCTCAAGGATGTGAGATGCCACTGAGGAAAATTCCCACCAAGAACTGAAGTACCCCTCCAGCCCACTCCACGTAACTACCCGGCATACCCGAGAATACTGCAGGTTGTCCACAATATCATCACTAATGAGGGGAATTAATCCTGCAAGATACAAAAAAGCACTTTAAAGAAGGCCAAATAGCCAAGTCAAAATGAGAACCCTGAAGTCCCCATGGGGATGTGAATGGGGAGAGGCCCCTCCTCTGGCACCAGGCACAGTACCTTCCCTTTAACCTTCCCAAACCTGCACTCACCAAGCCTGTGAGCAATGAATTCATCATGAAGCACAGAAGAGTTGGCATCAATCTGAACCCAGTCAATGGCTAAAAATGAAGGAAGCAGACAGGCAGTTTAGCCATCAAAATCAACTAAAGATTCAGAGCAGTGGCTCCCAAGGTTTAGGAATCACCTGATGCTTACTAAATTGCAGGTGCTTGGGCAAGGCTGCCAGACACTCTGATTCCACAGCACTAGAGCAGGGTCCAGGAACCTGCATTGTATGGAACCACACATATCATACCCATCACTCCACCCATATGAATTTAATACAGGGGGTTCCTTACTCCACATGGGAAAACACTGACTTAGAGAATACCATGGGCGTGGGAACATGCTTCTTTGAGCTGAGTATTTCCATGGGAAGCAATTAAATCTGCTACATATGTCAACACCAAATCCAAAAACACAAACTATTTAGACACCTCAAAGTTAGGGAAAAACCTCACAGAAGCAACACAGACTTATGACCCATCCTCATTATGACTTAGAGACTAGATCACCTAAACTAGCACTATATTATCACTCAATCAACAAATGTTTACTGAATTCCTTTAACGGGCAAGGCATACCAAATATAAAACCTAATCCAGCAGTGAGTTGACAGGATGGTAAGAGCTGTACAATCACACACATCTGACTTAAACACACATTTATTCATTCATAAATAATTATCAGCACATAACTCATTAAATCTTGCAATCCTATGGCACTGGAGCCCCACACCAAATGAGGGACAAGAACACTAGGAATAGAGGTCAGAAGACCAGCCCTGGCCAGGTCCCAACCTGCTTCATCCTGCTATGCTTCCTACTGCTTCCCCAGCTCAAACCAACTAAGGACCATGATCCAAGCTTTTCTGCCCCTTTACTCCCCTGGCCCCTCCCCCCAGCATGCTCTTCCCTCCTCTCCTCCCCCTTCCAATGCAGGTTAAAATCCTTGGAGCTTCCTAAAAACCAGCCTGGCCTACCCTTACTGCTACGTTGTGATCACTCCTCTCTCACAAGACTTTGTTCAGACTTCCCTTAAGACATCTGTCAAAACTTGCCTTGTGTCTTATTTGTGTATGTCTTGTCTCTACCTCAGCTTAGAAAACTCCTTGAGGCAGGGTCCTGGGATGTCTTTGTATTTCTAGCAAGGGTGCTTAGTGTTATTTGCAGAACTGAATCTGCAAAAAAAAAAACGTGGCATTTAGACACAAAATGTCAGGGCTGCATCACGAAGTACAACCCCTTCATTTTATTCATGATCAAACAGACCCAGAGACATGAAGTGAGTAGGCAGAGGGAGGACCAGCACTCCAAGCTGAGTTGAAAAAGTGTGGGGGGTAGTGGGTACACTACAATGCTGTCTTGCTTACTCATCACTGGGCCTGCTTATTTCCTTTTTTTTTTTTTTTTGAGTTGGAGTCTCACTCTGTTGCCCAGATTGGAGTGCAGTGGCCGGTCCTGGCCACAGCAGCCTCGACTTGCTGGGCTCCGGCGATCCTTCTGCCTCAGCCTTCCAAGCTGCTGGAACTACAGGTGCGCGCCACCACGCCTGGCTAATTTTTTTGATTTACTGTAGAGATGAGGTCTTGCCAAGTTGCCCAGGCGGGTCTCGAATCCGTGGGCTCAGGCAAGGCGCGGATTACAGGCTAAGCCGCCGAGCCCGGCTGCTTATCTCCTTAAAAGTCTGAACATTTGATGCAGAAGCTATGACTTGTATTTCTTTTGCCTAACCCAAGTTCCTTGACCTGACTCCCGGAAAGTACACGTGGTATTTCATATAAGTAAAATCAATGCATGAAAACCCCGGAGTGGCTGGAACCAGATCAGGAAAAGATCCTCTAAGGGCCAACTGCATTGTTTCTATGCTTCTCCCGAACTTCTAAGCAAGGTCTACTTGGCATTAGTGTTGTCTGTGGATTCATCTCTCCTTGCAACCTCACTAGGAACTTCATGAGGGCAGAAACCCTATTCTAGACAGCTCTGCATTCCCGGGGCCTACCACCAGGCATGGAACCTGCTCCATAAATGCAGTCGAAGGAACAGACTCATAATAAAGGCATCTGCCACGAAATGCAAGACCACTAACAGGACTACCTCACTTAATGTTACCCTAAGTGCCATTAGTGTCTGAATATTACAGATGACGAAACCACAGCACACAGAAGTTTAATACCTTGCCCAAGTTTCACAAAGATAGTTGGTGAGAACAATATTCGAACCCAAGTCAGCGCACTCCTCAACCCAAGCTTTTCAACAAAGAACACACAGCATACGGGTTTACCTAGGCGGCCCGCGGGAGCCAGCGAGTCGCCAGCAGTGGCCGCTGGGCCAAGGGCGCAGGTCTGATCAAGTCTCAGCACTGCCGCCGTTTTCTCAGCACCCAACCCCCTGCCCCGCCACCCAAGCCCGAGACCAGGACTGAGGGCAGGAGCCCCCAAGGTGTGTGTGTGGGGGGGCTTGCAATACGGAGGCGGGGCCTGCTCACCTATTATGGGCACCTCCGCGATGAAGACCCTCCGAATGGAATTGGCCACCCTGCAAGATGAAAAGCCAAGCGGCGTGAGGGCGCGCAGCCTCAACGGTTCCCAAAGCTGAGACCCTGACACTGGGGACAGCTCTGGAGGGACACTGCCCCCGCCCCCACCCTCATTCCCGATTAGGGCTTGCGCTCCAGAGCCGCCAGCCTCTTCCCTCAGCAGTCTTACGCCAGGTCAGTATTCTCAATGATGAACTTGACATTCTCGTCGGTCAGCTCCGTGATCCGCACCGTAGGTTGGTTAGCGTACGGCATCGCGCCCCCAGCCGCCGGGCTCCTGCGTCAGCCTTGCTGCGCCTGCGCCGCCGCAGCCGCCGGAAGTGGGTGAGCGAGGCCCTGCCACTTCCGTCGACATGGCCCGCAGCGCCGCCTGCTGCTCGGAGGCAGGCACCGCCCCGGCTAGGCGTTTCATACTCGCGAGCTTCACAATGCAAGTTGGCCATGGTGGGGGGGGGTTGGCGAAACCTGCTTATGCCCTTGACTTTCATACTGCAGAAATACTTTGCACTTGTAAACAAAGATGCACGTACAGGTGAACGCTCATAGCAGTACTGTTTGTAATGGCAAAAGACAAACAAAACTGTCCATTGATACAGACCTGATTAAACATACACACAGAAATACCATGAAGGCTTTGAAAAGAAGAAGTAGGCTAGGTGCAGTGGCTCAAGCCTCTAATCCCAGCACTTTGGGAGGCCGAGGTGAGAGGATTGCCTGAGCTCAGGGGTTCGAGACCAGCCTGGGCAACTTTGTGAGACCTCATCTCTCACAAAAAAAAATTAACCGGGCGGGTGGTAGCGCACGCCTTTAGTTCCAGCTACTTGGAAGTCTGAGGCAGAAGGATTGCCTGAGCCCAGCAGGTCAAGGCTGCAGTGGCCGTGAGCACGCCACTGAACTCCAGCCTGAGCAACAGTGAGACTCCAATTCAAAAAAAAATTGACATAAACATGCACATTCATGGAAAACAAAAGTATGCTTTAATATGCATGTATACTTTAGTGTACCTGAGTGATAGGTATACCCTTTCCCATCAACTTTCAAGTCTGGACCATGCACTTCTGACAACTTCAGGAAAAGACAGAGTGTTCTTCAACATAGTGGTCATCTATGGTTCTGTATAGTTGTAATGGTTACCCACACTTACGTGGGAGCTCTTCGTCATTGCATCCCCAATGCCTGGCAGTGTGCAGTATGTATGCTTATGGAAGAATTATCTGTCCCCTAAACAACCTGGAGAGAGGTTTAAATAGGCCTCAAAAAGTGGCAGCTTCTCATACAGAGAAAAAGAGGCCCTAGACAGAACCTAGCAAGAGCTACATTTAGGGGGTGGGAGAAGAGTGTCCAGATGATAAAGAGGAGTTTGCCTTGGCAAGGAGTGACATCTCTTCCTGGGACAGAAAGGCTCAGCATTGAGGTAGCCTTGCTCCACAGCATGTGCCATCACAGTAATTTAAGAATTACGGTTGTCTGCTGAGTGTGGGATGGATGCTATGAAGGGTAAAGGAGAGAATGCAATAAATTTTGGAATTGCTACTATAAAAACATTACAGGGTGTCAAGAGATACCAGGAATTAAGAGAGGTGCAGAAAGGAGCCAGTGGAAGATTTCCAAGAGATCTGAAGTTCGAGCTCCTGACTTCCCCCATATTCAGCTGACTTCAGTAGAAGAGAGTTAAAGCAGGGTTAACCAGACATGCAAAGGGAGCCTAACCAGTGTAGAGGCTGAGAAAGTTACTGAGACTAAATCAAATGAAATGCTGATAGACGAGAGCAGCCAAAGAAGCTGATGGCCTGGGGTAAGGTGCCTGTTACCCAAGAGGCATAAAGTTGCCATAATTGCCCAGTAGGTATTAGGCAGCACCAGGGCTAGAACTCAGGTCACCTTATCCACAACACTACTGTCTCCCTCTGGGCTGTTGGATACCTATCATGGTCTTCATGGAAACTAACTACACAATAGGAAACTGCTTCAAACATATTTATTATTATTTTTAAAGATGCCAAATATGCTAATAGTCCTGCAAAGCATGCTGGTGTAATATGACACCAGGCCTGGGATCACACTTCTGTACAGCAAACACCTGTCTCAGGTGCAGCAGTTTTTTGAGAGGGTTCCCAGAAGCAGCATCTCAGGATGCCTGAGAGGGATGAACTGCAAGGAACCCGTGTGTGCACTTGCCAGTGCTGTGCAAGAAATGAACTGCCTGGTGGTGTTTTCAGACCTTGACATTCTAGGATGGTTAAAACACGGTTAAGGTGCTGAGACCATGACAACGATGTGTTAGGCTTCCGTGGCTTGGATGAGAGTCTCATTTTTCAATCCTACAGCTGCAATGCGGAATCACATCAGGAGGACTGGCTTGGTAATAGGAACTGAAGAAATAGCCCAATCCCAGGCCAGAATGGTATCATCAAGTATCCCAGTGGCTGTGGCAGTGACTCAGAAATCCTTCAGTGTGTTCTCATTATCGCCTGGTTATGTGGACAGTACTTCATACTTTTCAAAGCTCTTTTAATCCATCTGCTCATCTTCTTCCAGGCCCTCAAGCCACATACCTTCCTCTCACCGGCGCTGGTTTAGACCTGTTAAATTCTTGAGCTGATACAGGGATGGAAACAGAGAGAGTGGTGAGGACTTGCCCTACCTCTAGTCTCCAATGGGAAAAGATCCAGGTTTTCAAGGTGGCAGGTATGGCTATGATAGAGATATGATATACCAGGGTCCCAGAAGTCAATGATATTTCTTGATACCAGTAAAAAATAAAGAGGCAGGGTATTCAGAATCAGGACACTAGGGCTGAATCAGCCTCAGTCTTATTATTAGATTTCCAGTTTAAGGCTACAAAACCATGTGGGGTCAGTGACATATGTCAGTATCACAGGGCCAGGGTAGGATGGGGGTTAGGCAGAGATAAGATTGGTGGTACTCACCGTCACTGCTGCACCCATGAGTCCTTGTACTAGTGCCTCTCCAGTGGACTTTACCTAGGAGAAGTCAGAGTCAGAGCCAGGTTCCCTTAAGACCCTAACATACACTTAAAAGTGGGACAGGAAGGACAAATCAGGGGACCCATGGCCCCAAAAGATGGAGTCAAGTGTACTAGAAGGAGAACCTATGGACAACACAGTCACAAATGAGCAAAGCATGGCTCTCAGGGAAGGACTGACAAGCAGAATAACCAGCCAAGCTCCCTGGGGAGGCCCTTAGGACTGTCAGCTGAGACCAAAAGAGATCAACAGCCAGGTGACCAGCGGCGGCCTGAGGAGGATGAGTATGCCTTCTTGAGAGGGTTCCCATATTAGGCCCCAACTACCTGCTTGGCAGTATGGCCCATGTTCATTGCATCATTAATTCGGTTTTCCAGGAAGCTCCAAGTGTTCTCGAAGTCTGGAGAGGAGTCCTGCATCATCACCAGCTCTGTTGTGTTGTAGATGCCAGCAAGCACAGCTCGGCGGGTATACCAGTTAAACTGCAAATACATTCACACTATTGCTATGGCCTAGGGGAAGTCTAGAGTAGCTCCCACCCAAGGCCATAGGGATTCCTAGGTTTCCTCCTGATTTCTTCTTTCCATCACAGATACATCTGGCCTTCTGGACTAACACTATTGTCTGAAACTTGGCTGGGCATCAGAATTACCTGGGAGATTAAAAATGCAAGCCTTTGGGCCCAACATCTTAAGAGTAAGAGCCTATGAGTCTGAATTAAGTGCCAGGAATCAGGAAGTTCAATAAGCATTGTAGGTGATCTGGCCACATTCAATCCTATTTGGAACTGTCAGTGAAATGCCTAAGTCTTATGACATTTCAGTTCCAGGGTGGCTCTGTGCTCAGCCAGTTATTACCAAACCTTGGTGTGCTCATCAGTAAAGTGAGGGCTGAGACAGGATTATGGACAGATTACAGTACTCGGGCAAGGCTCAGAGTTCAAGTCCCAAAGCAACTTATGACCATTTTGGCAAATACTCTTCAGAGGACCAGCTCAGCTGCTTGGTGTTTTATTCCTTTAATTTCTTTGCTTTCTAATTTCATTTTCCTACCATCTCTGTTGGTGGTATGCTTCCACATGAAGTAGGTTTATTAAAGCACTTTGTTATAACTATGGTGGAAGTATCTCTGTGCCTCCTCCTCTTGGATTCCACAAAGTACTATTGCATTTTAATTTCTTTTATGAGAGTGTACAATGTTTTTCAACTTCCTACCAGAAATTTGATAGTATTAACAAGCCAGAGTCCCTCCTGCTGCCTTTTAAAGGGGCTTACTGATGATCTCTTAGCAAAGCCGACCAAGATGGTCTAGAGAGGGGAGTTTCGTTTTAAAGCATTTTTTTTTGCAAGAGGAATTCTGCTGCAGAATCCACATCTTAGGAGTGTGAGGGGGAAATGGACACACAGTCCAATCCCAGGGCCCTCTGATGCCTTGTGTCACCACCATAGGCTAGAAGAAATAGTTTCTGGTTTGTGGCCAGAATGCTGGTCCCTGAATGAGGACAACCTCAATCCCATTCTGGTTTGTTGAGGGACCTTCCTCAGACACTAGATGACAATGACACTGCAAGCCCCCTGAAGGGACTTGTGATCCAAGAAATCTCACAAACTTTTTGAAGAAATGCTTAACCCAAGCCTCTCCCAGTTTCCTGTGGGCCTGCAGAGAGCACTCACATCAGTAGACTGGTCCCCAGCGTAATGCCACATGTCATCCACCATGCTGGTAAGCAGGCTCAGGCTGGATGGGATGTTGTGGGGGAGCATGAGAATGCTGAGAGCCTGAGGAGGAAATGGCAGAGGAGTAAGTACCACACACAGGTAAGAGCACATTGGTGGCCAGCACTTCCCCACCTCTCCAAAAGGTATATGAGGGACCCTGCCCAGCTCCGGCTATCTGAGACCCACCTATTCACTCACCAGTATGAGTTCCAGACAACTAAAAACCCTGACTACAGTTGATGGGAGCCAGGGACATAGTACCAGAGCTGGTACAATCATGTTCTCCATCTCTCGCATATGGAATTAGGAATGCAGAGAGCCAAAGGGTCTAGACTGGTCTAAGCAAGGATGGGAAAGGATGCCCTATTTTGTCACACAGAGAAAGAAGCAGAAATAGGAAGGAAGTGTGGGGGTGGTTTCCAGGACCAAATACTAGGCTATTCCCAGGACCAGTAGCACCCTGCCCTTGTTGCACCATTCCATCACAATAAATTCCTCCCTTTTTTTTTTAGTAGGAGTCTCACTCTGTCGCCCAGACTGGAGTGCAGTGGCCACTCCCGGCCACCGCAGTCTCAACGTGCTGGGTTCCGGCGATCCTTCCACCTCAGCCTTCTGAGTAGCCGGAATTACAGATGTGCGCTACCACACCCGGCTAAGTTTTTGATTTATTGTAGAGATGTGGTCTCGCTGCCCAGGCAGGTCTCGAACCCGCGGGCTCAGGCAATCCACTCACCTCAGCCTCCCAAAGGCGTGGGATTATAGGCTGAGCCACCGAGCCCGGCTTCCTCCCTTTTTTTCAAACTCAAGATGATTTGTTTCCTGAAACCCAGAATTCACCAACTAATACAAGTGATGGCATAGACCAGATTCTCTTCATTATCGGGTATCAGCTCTTCCTGCTCTTGCCACTTTATCAACTCTACAGTCCGTTGGTTGAGGCCTGCAGGAGCTGGTCAGAGGACCCGAACTGGCTAAAAGGTTTTCTCTTAGTGACGTAGCCCAGAAGGAAATGCTGCATTGAATCAGGAAGGTAGCCAAGGGCCTGATACATACACTTCTACCATTTTAACCTCAAGGTGGAATGTAATGGGGCCAGGTGTGTAAAAATCAAGTGTGGCAAGGGACAGGACTTGACTCCTGGCTGTGATCCCTTCAGATCCAGCCTGGGGTTAGGCACACTATAGGTGTCCAAATGTCTGTCAATTGAATGAATGAATGAAATTACATGCTCAATAGTCTTCCAGCTGGGTAAAGGACACTAGATGTCTGAGTCCTTCTCATTTCTGGTGTGCTTTGACTCTACTTTCTTAACTCAGAGAATGGCCCACACTGTGACATGCTTTGAAACAGAGGAAAAAGGAAGCTTCAGAAAAGGGGAAAAGCCCTTGGAGTGAATACTCCGATCCCCAAGCATCACACTGATAATCTGACAAGAAGTCCCAGTCCCTGAGATCTGAAACATGACAGGGCTGTTACTCAAGTGAAGACAGCCAATTAAATCCTCTGGCTTTCCAACCTCCTTTATGGATTCCTCCTCACTGAAGACCTGATGGCACACTCAGGCCACTAGGACCCCATCTGGGATGTGGTCTAGTACCAGACTATTCACATTTACGAGAACTGAAACAGCTCAGAATTACTCTCTCTGGTACTCCCAAGTTTGAAACCTAGCTCTACCATGTGTACTATGTACGCTTGGGTTTATGGAGAAACTTAATGAGCTAACTTCTGAAGAATGTACAAAGTCTTCTGAGTGAAAGGTTCTGAGAATTATAAATATTAATATTATTATAGCTTTGGGCCTGGATATGGACTCTGTACCCGGGGCCAGTGCTCAATGTACGGGATCAGCATTCTCAGTCTGGTTTCCACTGCATCCCTCAGGAACTGGTCTGTCTTTCTCTTCCTGGAAGAGGGAAAAGAAAACAGTGTGTCTCTGGGTCAAAGGCAGGGGCTCAGTGCTACACTAATCACTCAGCCCTAAGGAGGAGGACCCCACCAGCTCCTGATGCTGGCCTAACTAAAGCTGTCAGAGACAGGCTGCTGGGTTCAGTCCCATCATAGCAGCAGGGCCACTCCATGCCACTCTCTTGGTTCTGCTTGGAATGGCCTCCTGGGGACAGCTGGTGGGGCCCAAGTTCCCCAATCCTTAGCTGCTACTCTGAGCAACAATATCACAGGACTTACTCTGCCTGGCCCAGCTGTACCAGCTTCTGCTCCTCCTCCAGCACACGGGTGAGCTGAGTATTGCACTGGGTCACAAAATGCAGTATTAGCTCACTGCCGTCATTTCCAAACATGCTGGATGCTGCACTGGAAAGACCCAGAGACTACAAAAGAAGAGAGAGAAAACAGAAGAGTGGTGGGCAAGTATAGTGAATATCTGTTGCCTGCTCATCACTAGTGTCTCTTCTATAACATCTGCTTGACTTTCAGTGGACACCCCCACTCTTGGTCCACGTGATTTGGGAGAAGCTGACCACAGCCAGACCCTTCATACTCCTGTTGGTCTGTGTGCAAAGTATGGGATCCCGGCTTGGATAACTGGAGCACAGCGGACACATGACCAAACCCAGGTCTTAAGAGCCCATCTCAGGCTAGTGCTGATGGGCAAGAGGTGCTCTCCTTCCATTGGGGCTGCTGAGCCACTTTTAGGTCTGCATGGAAAAGCCCCTACTGAGAAGGAAGCTCAGAGAAGAAAGCAGAGATGATGGAGAGACAGTTCCTGACAGCACATTCTTTTTTTTTTTTTTTTTGAGTTGGAGTCTCACTCCATCACCCAGACTGGAGTGCAGTGGCCGCTCCCGGCCACCGCAGCCTCGACCTGCTGGGTTCCAGCGGTCCTTCTACCTCAGCCTTCCAAGTAGCTGGAACTACAGGCGCGCACAACCACGCCCGGCTAAATTTGATTTATTGTAGAGATGAGGTCTCACCAAGTTGCCCGGGTGGGTCTCGAACCCGTGGGCTCAGGCAATCCACTCACCTTGGCCTCCCAAAGCGAGGGATTACAGGCTGAGTCACCAAGCCCGGCTCCTGACAGCACATTCTAAGAACACCATGCCAGAGCTACTTCTGGGCTTTGCTGTTATTACATGAGCCAAAACTTCTCTCTCTTACTTAAGCCAATTAGGGTTGAGCTCTGGCACTTACAACCTGGAGTCCTAACTAATACAAGAAAAGGCTTGGGAAGAATACTCGTACCTCCTTTTCTGACAAATTAATTTAACCTGTATCTCTTAGAAGCTGGGTCTCTCAGTTGTTTAAAACAACAACAAACTTTTCTTAATGAGTTGCCAAGGAGTTAACAAAGCCACAAAAGCCCTTTGCTATTTCTGATATACAATAGTCCTCAAGCATCTACTGGAGACAGAGCCCTGTCAGCAGCAGGGACAGAGGGCAGGAGAGAAACAAAAGCTATTAAATATAAATTCCTACTGCTGTGAGTGGGGAAAGCACCTCTTTTGGTGGGAGTACATAGCCTTTCAAGAGGACAGTTTGGCACATGACAGAGTTACAGCAGTAGCAATACTAACAGTGACTGCAGGCTTACTAAGTGTCTGGCACCTTGCTAAGCACATGACATACACTGTCTCACTGCATCTTCCCAACACCTCTATTGTGGGAGGAGGTGGTATTACCACTCACATTCTACACATGAGGAAACTGAGGCTTAACACTCTCAACCACAAGGCTCTATTGTCTCCAATATGTATCTAACAAGAACCTTAAAAATAGACATACCCTTTGGGACAGTTACTGTCTCACTGCTGCAAACCTGCCCTATGCTATTTGTGATGCCAGGGTTAGGACTCTGCAAATCACATTTCTAAGTCCCATCAGGATCTGCCAATAGGATTGCTAGAGGGAGTGGGCAGGGCTGGAGGAGGAAGGGGCTTGTCTTTCCTCTCTACTTCCTGTCTGCTTGTGATGTTTATCTGCTGTGTCTGAGATGACCATCACCTCAGTGAGGTTTCCTCACCCGGCAGAAGCAGTTCTCTTCTGAAGCAGCGACTGAACTCAGTCTGCAGTCTTCCCAAGCCACCATCCTCTCCCCACTTCCAGCCCCCAGGTAAAGTGCCAGCCCCAGGTGACCTTCCTCTAAGCTCAGCAACAGCACCAGCTGAGGAGCAACTCCTCCTCTATGTTCTGTGATTCCCCTCCACAGGGACTTTCCTTCAGGTTCCTAGTTCTAATTAATTCCAACTCTTCGTTTTATTCTCTTAGCCCTGGGGATGGAGCTGCTTCCTACAGTTGCCACCTCCATAATGCCGTAGTATTCTCTTTATCTTTATACTTCATTAATCTTTGTATTAAATTCTCTCTATTCAAATAACTGATGTGGTTTCTATCTTCCTGACTGAATCCTGACTAACACACTCCCTAAAAGAGCAACTCTACTTTAAAATTTGTCATAAAGAAATTAATCAGAAATGTGCTCAAATATGTTGTACAAATAGGTTTACAATACTAAAAGATTGGGGGCCAGGCATGGCAGCTCATGTCTGTAATCCCAGCACTCTGGATAACTTGAGATAAGAGGATTGCTTGAGGTCAGGAGCTAGAGACCAGCCTGGAAACATAGCGAGATTCCATCGTTACAAAAAAATTAAAAAGTGAGCCAGGCATGGTGGCATATGCTTGTGAGTTCCAGCTACTCAGGAGGCTAAGACAGGAGGATTACTTGAGCCCAGGAGTTCAAGGCTGCAGTGAGTTATGACTGCACCACCACACTCTAGCCTGGGTGGCAAAGCGAGACCCTACTTAAAAAAAAAACAACAACAACAAAAAACCTACTAAAAAATTGGAAACAACTCAAATGTTTATTAACTGAGGTCAAGAAAATACAATAGGCATCATGTAGTCATTATGAATGGGGATATGCAGAGAAAAAAGGTAGTTAACCACAGAATATAAAATACAGTCTGATTTCTCCACACAATTCTGTTACATTTCTGTCCTCAACTTACTCTACCACTTTCTGAAAGGATTCTTTCCAACAATCTCTACTACCCCCAACCTCTGTCCCTTCTATCTTTCCTATAAGCCTCAGGTTCAGAGGCTACTTTGCAGAGGAAAGAGAAACCATCCCCTGGGAACTCCCTTAATGTTCTTCTAGAAACTAAACCTGCAGTTGCTAAGTGTGGTGGCTCATGCCTGTAGTCCCAGCTACTCAGAAGGCTGAGGCAGGAAGATTGCTTGAGCCCAGGAGTTTGAGGCTGCAGTGAGCTACGATCGTGCCACTGCACTCCAGCCTAGGCAACAGAGCAAGACCCTGTCTCGGGAAAAAACAAAAATCAAAAACGAAACCTGCAGCTTTCTTCTCCAGCTTCACACCTGATACATCTAAGACCAGTTCTTCCATCTGTCCAAGAAATCTTGTAATTCCTGCCTTCAAGCCACCTCACACTTTTGATTTTGCCTATTTTCTCTAGTAAACTCACACTCACTCTTCCCACTAGTGTTCAATCATATGCAAACTTCCACCCAATTTCGCCTGCGTGGTACACCCTAGCTCTCTTCTGCCCTCACAGCCAAACACCCTCTACTTCCTCACCTTCTACTCATGCCTCAACCTACTCCAACTGATTTCTGACCCAGTACTCCATCCAAATAGCTACTGCTACAGTAACCACATCTAGCTGCTTAATCCACTCTCCTGCTCTGCCTCCAACATCAGGAAGCTCTAATTCAGACTTCATGGATGGTGTATCTTACTCTACTCTTCCCTATAAACGTCAGAGTTCCTTGAAGGTCTAGACTCTTTTCTTAACACACTAAGCTCATGCCCTGGGTAAACTCACTGACTTATTAGATAGATTAGATAGATAGATAGATAGATAGATAGATAGATAGATAGATAGATAGATAGATAAACCGATAATGCCCAAATGTATATCTCTAATCCAACTATCTCCTCCAGCTCCAGACATGCATGCCTGAACTAAGTCCCTTGGTTGACTCAAAGATGCCTCACACTCAACAAAGATCAAGACTGTACCTATGATCCATCCCCAAATCTGATCTTCTTCCAATGGCCCTAATCTTAGAAAATGACACCATTAAAAAAAAATAAATTTAAAAAGATTTTTTTAAAATGCAGCAATGTGGATGGAATTAGAATCAATAATGCTCAGTGAAAAAAAAAAGAAAACAACACCACTGTATAGCTATACATGCAAACTGGCAAATCTGGCACCATGTTGTCACTCTCCCATGTCTAACCTATCCCCAATCTACCCACTTGTGTCTAGTTCACCATCACTGCTCCAGGTCAGACAACCTCATCTCTCCAGGATGACTGACAGCAGCCCCCAGTGAATCTCTTTGCCTCCAATCAACTTGTCATCCAGCAGCCAAAATGAGCACTTTGAAGTGTCAGATGTAATTCTGTATCTTCGACGATTCTTAGAATAAAAACCTAACTCCTCATCATTACCTTCAGGGTCTTGCTTCATTTGGCTTCAACTGAACTTTCTCCAGATTTACTCATCTCAAGTTTCTCTTCCTTCATTCCCTGCTGGGTTTTTGTGGTTCTTTCAACACAGTAAGCATCTTCCAATTTTGCACATGTTTTTTCTCTATCTGGACTTGTCCATCCCCAGTCCACCAAACTAGGTAAGGTCTACTCATTCCTTAGTTCTCAGCTCAAAACCCTTTCCTGGCTGCAGTGTGCCATGACTGTGCCATTACACTCCAGCCTGGGAGACAGAGTCAAACCCCAACTCAAAAAAACAAAACTAAAAAATAAAAAATGAAAGCCATTCCTGACCATCAAGGAACCTGAACTCATATTAGATCGAGTTCCTCTATTATATGGCCCAACAGCACCTTTTCTTGATAGCTCTTATCACATTTTCTAAGTATATATCTCTATATATGTGATTAATGTCACTAAACTGGAAGCTCAACAAGGACAGGAACCATGTTCATCTTGACCACTGCCATATCCCTAGGGATATTGCAGTACCTAGGGCACACTATTAGCTCAATAAATAGTTAAATAAATGATTAATAAAGCTCTCTGAACTTTATTGAAAGAATTAGGCATTAAAATGTTGATAGCAGAATCTCTGGTGTGATTATAGATGATTTTTACATTCCCTTTTATATGTTTGTATTGTTTAAAGCTTTCACAATGAGCATACAGTGGAGACAGAGTAGACACATTTCATTTATATGACTTCTGTTACCATATGTGCTCTTGGGAGATAGTGAGATAAGACAAATACCAGTTAATCTTAAGTAAAGCAGTAAACTTGTCCACTGTCCAAGCTTGGAACGAGAGACATGACTATAATTCCTTCAGTGTCTGTCCTCATAGACCTCATAGGATGGTATCTGGCTATGCTGGATGATCCCACACAACACGGCCTAAATATGAGCCTACTGCTTAATTCAAAGCAGCAATCTTTTCCAATGCAGGAGGAAATGCTATTAGACTTATTAAGAAAAGTCAGTTGTGTTGGTCTCCAAAGTGGTGCCTTCTTGGGGATTCTCAAACACCACATTTTATTAATTCTAAGATGCATATACTTTAAAATATCTGTGTGAAGCACAGAATTGATGATTTGTCATAATTTAATAGGCAGCATTGTTTCTTTTTTATTAATGCACAAAAATGTTGCTTCTTATAACTGGTAACATTTTAGGGCCAACAAAATATGCTAGTCTTGATCACAGACAATTCTTGCCTAATGGGTAGTCTTTAGAACATAACTTCCCCAAACCAACTCCATTGTTCATTCTTTTTACAATTAAAAAATAAAGCCATTTCTACTATATTTGGGGGGGGAGGGGGACTCCAAAACAGAAAATCTTGCAGATAGGCTGCAAGAAGGGATGAAGTTCTCTGCTCTGCCTGGTGTGATCTTGGTCCTGGCTGATCTTGGTGGTGCTGCCCCACCTTCACCTATACACACCTGGGCTCCTTCCGCAATGGCCTCTGCTGTCCACCCATGAGCGGGCACAAACTCCAGGGCTGCTGTCAGGATGCGGTGCTGTAGCTGCTCCTCATTCTCATAGTCCTCCTCCTCCTGGCCACCTTGGTCTGTATACCTGACACACAGGGACAGAGCCCAGCACACTTCAACCACTGCCTACTGCTTGAAGGCACAAGAGACCCGACCAGAAGCCAGGGCCTCTGGATCTCCTCTAAGCACGTGTTGGAAGGACATTTACTCTTGTGTTTCATGCCAACAGAGTAAATATTAGATTTTTTCTCCCCTCTACATAGCCACTGAGACAAGGGATCCAGCCTGGTGAAGTCATGGGGCATGCAGGCACTGTTCCTAAAGCACCTGAATTTGCCTGTCTAGAACTCTCAGCACAATGTGCTCAGACGGTTTATCTCTATTTGCATCACTCCTTGAGACCAGGAACAATGAATAGTTATATTATTCATAGGGCCTGGCTATGTAAGTCCTCAAAAAACATTTGTTGGATTGAAATGAAAAGTACTGTGATTTGGAAACCAGAAAAACTGACAAGGAACACTCTAATTTTAGATCTAGAGGAACTTTTCAGTGGCAGGATTAGGAAGAAAAAAAATCTAATGGAAATGTAAATCATTATTACCTTTCTGAAGGGCAATTTGACCCCACATATGTAACACATCTTTTCACATCCTTTGACTCACTACTCCCATTTCTTTTTTTTTTTTTTTTTTTGAGAAAGCAGGATTTATTGGGGGGACAGAAAAGCTCCCATAGTTGGAGGGGACCAGAGGGAACTGTCCCCCAGACCTTTTACAGTGAGGTACAATCACGGGTTTCTCATGAATCCTGAGACAGGAGCATGTGATCCAGCAGACAAGGCACATGATCAGATTGTTCCTCTGAATAGATGGGGAGAGCTTAGAGCGTCTACCTAGGTCCTGAGTGCCCACATGTTATACAGCAAGTCCACACGCTGGGTTAGCCCAGCTGGTTTGGGAGTCTTGTGGGCAGTTTCCTTTTCTGATGGCCAAAATGGAGAACTGGCTCCTCCCAGTGGGTGTGCAGGTTCTGATTTCTCCTTGTGTGGTGGAATGGCTGGGCCCGCAGGTCCTGCTCACAGGTCCAACAACCAGGACGTCCCGCTGGAACCCACCGAGACCGCGACCTGCCAATGGCAGGGGTCACCGACACTTGTTCTTTCACAAATCAACACTTCAGGCCAACACCAGGCCAGCATCGCAGTTGTCCCTCACGGATTCTGCAGGCTGCGTGTGTCGCTCACGGTTAAAGGCGCCACCCGGGAGTGCGTTTGGCCCCAGTTATGCATGAGCACTGCTCTAGCGCTGCAGCCTGACCCAGTGCCACGCACAAGCGGGTGGGGCTCAAAGGCAGCGCGTACTACTCCCATTTCTAAGGAGAGATTCACACACGTTATCATATTATTTCTCATTATTAGTAAAGGAAATCTAAATATCCATCAATAAGAGACAGGTTAAATGAATTTTGGCACAGCCATTTGCTGGAATGTTATATAACCATCAAAATAATGTAAACGACTGGGTGCGGTGGCTCAAGCCTGTAATCCCAGCACTTTGGGAGGCCGAGGTGAGAGGATTGCCTGAGCCCACGGGTTCGAGAACACCCTGGGCAACTTGGCGAGACCTCATCGCTACAATAAATCAAAAATTAGCCAGGCACAGTAGCAAGCAACTGCAGTTCCAGCTACTTGGAAGGCTGAGGCGGAAGGATTGTCTGAGCCCAGCCAGTCAACACTGGGGTGACTGTGAGTGTGCCACTGTACTCCAGCCTGGGCAACGAAGTGAGACTCCAACTCAAAAAAATAAGAAATAATGTAAACTGTGAAAAGGCATTACAAATGTAATATTGAAAGAAAAAACAAGGCCGGGCTCGGTGGCTCAGCCTGTAATCCCAGCACTTTGGGAGGCCGAGGTGAGTGGACTGCCTGAGCCTGTGGGTTTGAGACCAGCTCGGGCAACTTGGCAAGACCTCATCTCTACACTAAATAAAAAATTAGTTGGGTGTGGTAGTGTGCTCCTATAGTTCTGGCTACTTGGAAGGCTGAGGCAGAAGGATCGCCAGAGCCCAGTGAGTGTGCCATGACACTCCAGCCTGTGCGACAGAGTGAGACTCCAACTCAAAAAAAAAAAGAGAAAGAAAAGAAAGAAAAAACAGGCTCTGGAACAGCATGTGGAGTATAATTAATCATTTATTATATACTAAATAAGCTTAGAGAAACATCCAAAAGGATATTCACAATGTTAGCAGGGTTATCTGTTTGTGATTTTGGATAAATTTTGTTTTATTTTTGGGAACTTCTCTATACTGTTTAGATGTTTTAGAATATGCAGGCATTGATTTTATAAAAACAAGTTCTTCTTGAAAACAATGGAAGGTAAAGAGGGGGCCAGAGCTGGGTACAGTGGCTCATGCCTGCAATCCCAGCACTTTGGGAGGTGGAGGCGAGAGGACTGCCTGAGCCTAGGAGTTTGAGACCAACCTGGGCAACTTGGCGAGACCTTGTCTCTACAATAAATAAAAAAAATTAGCCGATGTGTTGGTATGCGCCTGTAGTTCCAACTACTTGGAAGGCTGAGGCGAAAGGCTTGCCTGAGCCCAGAGGGGCGAGGCTGCGGTGGCAGTGAGCCACTGAACTACAGACAGGGTAACAGAGCAAGACTTCGACTCAAAAAAAACCCCAAACAAACAAAAGAGGGGACAGAGAGAGCAGAAGTGGAGGAAGAGCAGATATGCCCTAGCACGCAAAGTGTCCAGAAATGGTGGACTGGGATCTGGTGCCTACCTGGGGGGTGAATGAGAAGACTCTGGATTGGGTTTTTCTGTCCCCTGTGTCTCAGAATGCTGCTGAGAAAAAGATGGGGGCGGTTGCTGCTGCTGCTCATCTGAAGACCTTAGCCCCACAGCTGAAGCATGGAAGGCACGTGGCACCAGGGGTGGTCGGCAACGGGACACTGAAACAGAAACAATGCTGGTCAGTCAGAGACATTCACCAGAGGACCCTTTGAGACCCAGAATGGAAACACAGGCAGGAAGGAGAAAAAGCAGGGCAGAGACTCCTCCAGAGCCACTTAGCCAAGTGCTCGTCTCACACAAAAATTATGGGTAAATTGGAAACCTTGGGACATGATGTGGTGGTGAAAGTGGTGAGCCAGGAAAGGGAAGATGACCTAGTATCTCAGCCTGTTTCATTTGTTAGCTGTGTAGTAATGGGAAAACTATTTCACCCCAATGTGCAGATTTGAAACGTGGAAATTTAGAGTAATAAGCTCTACTTGTTCAATGTTGTGAGGCCGAAACAAAAAGTGAAAGTAACTTAAAATGTTACATATTTATATGTTATGGCAAGAATACTGGAGTAGTAATTACTGATCTAGTAATTACTGATCTCAGTACTGGGCCAGGTACATTGGATCATGCCTGTGATCCTAGCACTTTGGGAGGCCAAGATGGGAGGATGGCTTGAGCTCAGGAGTTTGAGACCAGCCTGGGCAACACAGCAAGATCTTATCTCCACAAAAATAAAAATAAAAAGGAAGGTCTCAGTATTGACACCCCCAGTGCTTAAATGGTGTTTCTGGACAAGTTCCTCATCTCTATCTGCATTCTCATCTGTAATATTTGTAACACCTCCAATTACTTTAGGAAAGATCAGTAGTATGCTTTGTAAGCATAAACTCATATTACCTTTTAACTTCCCTACATTCTATTATAAACATTTTCAAACACACAAAGAATTATGGAATGAACACCGGTATATCCACCACGAGGCTGTACACATCAATCAATCATGCTTTTCATTCATCCATCTTGATTTTCGATGCGTTTGCTGCAGATCTCAATATTCTCTATCTCTAAACATCTTAGAGTGTATAGCATTAACTAGAGTTTTAAGTCCACTGTTCTTTTATTGAGATGCCATTTATATGCAATAAAATGCATAATCTTAAGTGTACCATTCTGTGAGTTTTGCAAACATATACACTTGCATAGCCTAAACACAACTTAAACGGAGAACATTACCATCACCTCAGAAAGTTCTTTTATGTCCTTTCATCGTAGTTCCCTGTTCATGCTTGTTCTGAATTTTTCACCCTAAATTAATTTTTGCTTGTCTTAATTTTGCTTGTTTTGAATTTCATCTAACTGTACATTTTTCTTAAAGCTTCTTTCACTTAGTATATTTTTGAGATTGATCCATATTTTTGTGTAAGTCAGATCTGATGAAGATTCTCTCCTTGACCAAACTTTAGCCAAGCTCCTCTGAGCCTTCTTACCTAGACTCAACCGCGGCCTATACAGACTTGAACACACACTCAAGGCCATATTTCTAAGACGACCGTAGCCTCCTTTAAAGAGATGTCTGAAAAAACTCAAGACTGTCAAAAAACTTTACTGTTTGTTTCAGCCAACACTGTGGATAGGGCCTTTGTCTCCCTGAAGAAACACAGAATCCCAACTTCAACAATTGCCAGCTAGCAGACAGTATGTCTAAACCCCGTTTACACTAAACCTTTCCTGAATCTACTGAGCCCCACCTACCCTTTTCCCTCCTCCCTCACTTGTCCTTTAAAATGCCCAGTTACTTCTGCAAGAACTGAACTCAAGGTCCGACAAGTGTATACACTTGCATAATAACCTCAAGGTTGAGTTCCGTTCATGCTGTACTATTTTTCCTATTGCAATAGTTATTACTGATTAAAATCTGCCCTTACCACTTTAATCAGTGACCAGCTTTGTGTAACTCTGAGATTTTTAGATTTTATTGCAAAGTAGTATTCCATTAAGAAACACTATTCTGTTGATGGACACCTAGGCTGTTTCTGTGTTTGGGAACACAGCTGTTATGAATTTACTCCTACAAACCTTTTTGTAGACACATACTTTCATTTCTTTTGGGTAAATACCTAAGGGTGGATTTGTTGAGTCATAGGCATTACTTTTACTAAACATGTTTAGTTCGAAATTTTGTATAAAAGCAACAAAAGGACACTCATTTAAAAAAAAAATCTATGGAATAACTTAGGAAACGATAATTTTTAAAGAAACAGGACATTATGTATAAAAAAATCAATATTTTAGTAAAAGTACAGACAAAAATGGAGCAAATATCTATAAAACTTTGAAAAAGAAAAGGGCAGTTGCAAACTATGACTGTGAAATCCCTTGGGTAAATGAGAAGACTAGATGAAACACAAGAGAACAGTTCATCAGTTTTATATTCATGTCGATGTGTCAATGCATACATTCTATTTATGGAAGGCGATCTGGGTTTTCCACTTACGGAACTCATGGAAAGCTTCCTCTTTAGGAAAACAGTTATTTTAAAGAACTCAGATGTAGAAACAGAAAGAGTATATGGCTGCACAGGTGGTGAGAGAACACCATAGTTGGTGAAGTGGTGGGGAAATGACTGACTTTTGGGAAACACTGGCCGCTCTCTGTGGCCATTTCCACCTGTCCTTCGAGGTGACTTGGCAATGGAGTTGAGGACGGGTCCACCACTGCCTTTCGTAACCAACAAGCGTGTGACCTTGGGTACCCCAGCCCAGTCTGGGGCTACGTCAACTCCATGGAATGGGGTGACACGCCCCGCCTCATTGCTCTTGCCCCTCGCAGCTCGACACTAGGGACCGAAGCGACGCCGGCGGCTCCGCG